CCGCGTTTTCCGGGCAGCTGCCAAACCCGGCAGCGACAGACCCCCTGGCAAGACAAAGGAGCCCTTTCCCTGCTCCTGCTGGGAAAACGCTGTACGCGCTCATGACAGTCTTGGAGAGGGGAATGCTGTTTCATGTGGTTTTAACACTGGCTCCAGAAGGCTGTAGTGTGTTAAGCCTCAGCCTAAACCCCGAACACACTCAGCACAGGTCCTGGGAATTCTTTTGCTTCGGAGGGGACACAGCTCAGCACGTAAGTCATTGTTTCTGTAAGCGTCTCTTCACATGCAGAGCGTTGTATGAAGTCAAGCCACCACGGCAGTATGCACCCACTCTCAGAGGGTTTTCCTGCCCAGGACTGCAGACATTTTAAAATTAAGCTGGGGAGAAAAGGCAGGGGGGATTCGTAAGAAGCAGGCTGTGAAAGCAGCCCACGTGTCTATGAGCCACAGGTATGTGTTTTGGGGGGGACTAGCACCATTCTCTTCTTCAAAATTCAATGCTAAAAAATCCCGAAGACCGCATTATTTATAAAACTGATATTTCAGGCTATGCCCCCATCTTCATCCACTTGCGAGGAGAGGAAAAATGGGGGTATGACTAGGTTGCTGTACTAAATCAGAAAGAAAAAGATTACAGATAAGCCATTTATGACAAAAACCTGCACCATCTGAAGGATTTGCCCTTATCCCGCTAATAAAAACACGTCGACCCTCCAGCCAAAACAGCAGATCTCTATTTAACTGCGGACAAGTCCTGTCCAGCTTGTGGGCATCTGCACATCCTCCCTGTGCACTTGAGAAGCACCGTTATTCCCGCAGCGGGATCCGTCAGAAACTCATCCTCCCCAGCGGTGAGTCAGACGCTGCACCCAGCAGACCATTGCCGAAAGCATCGGAAATCTCTCCAGGAATAGAAGGCAGGGGGTGGAATTTTTAATTTGCAAGCAAAACCCAACCCCGAATCTCTAAATTTGGGGCTGTGGTTTGACAAGCACTGTACAGAAGCAGATCTGATCAGGCACCTGGAAACCCTCAGCCAGGGATGCTTCGGGCAATACGTAGTACGAGTATTTCATACGCACCTATTGGGGGCTCTAGCAGTTCCGAGATCCAGAGTCCAACTCAGCTTTACTACATACAGCCTAAATAACCACTTCAGTTCAAACCATCTACGGTGTGTTGAGCTTTAACAGCTACTGAAAAGCAGTGTTGAAGCTTTGATTCAGTCCATCAGCTGCGTTGATCGGGTTGTCCCCTGGAAGAGCTCTGGCCACCAGAGGTGTAAAACCGTTGTCCTTCCTGGGGTTTGATGGCACCAAAACCAGCCCCCAACAACTTGGGAATAGACTTCCAGAGGTTTCCGTCTCAAGCCTTCCAAATCTTTAAGCCAAATGAACTTTTTCCTTGATTTTTTTTTGGCTACCTGGAACTTGCGTACATTTAACACACCTGGTAACAGGCACCACTGCACTTGGACAGAGCACCCAAAGGACACCCGACCTTCCCAGGCCCACACTGGGAGTAGCAGGGAAGCCTTAAGAACAACTTCACCTTAAAAAAAATTCCCAAGCGAAATATTTTATACCTACAGGCAGGTGAATCCAAGGCACGCCATTTTCCCCAGAGGATGGGAGCGCACGCAGGCTGCCATGGCCCCTCCAGAGACCCTCCGCTCAGTGGTCGGGGAGCTCAGCAACCGATTATATCCCCAATTTAACTGTCACTGAGCTGAACGCGCTGGCGCGAGGTGAGCCTAGCCAGCTAATCTCATTTCTTCCCTAATCCACAGCACCCTTTCAGGCCCGGCACTGAGCGCTCAGCAGCACTGACCGCACGCTGCGTTTCTGATGTCCCCAGATGTGATTTTGGGGTGGGAGGGAAGCCTGGTGCTTTCTAAAAGCAACGGGAACTGTAAGTACCCACCAGAGCACCAGGCCTGTGGGGGGGGGTGGTTTTGGCCAAAAAAATTCTGTGCGTTAGCAGACCTTAAGCAATGACGGTTCCAGAGGTTTCAGCGCAGACCGGTGCTCTTGGGTCACTATTAAAGGATTATTCCCCCCCCCTCCTGCCTTCCCAGCATCCCAGTTTCACTCCAAAAAACAACTTTTCCTGCAAAATCTAGGAAGTGAGGCAGGCCCAGGAGCAGTTTCACCAGCAGCGGTTCAGACACGGGGACAAAGATCTTAGCTCACACTTCTGTGCTTCAGGCACAAGTTTAAAACTAGTTATTACAGGAGGTGGCTGCACATCAAAGGGTGCACGCATGTTTAGGAAAAACAAGAATACGATGAGTCCCCCTCCTGGCTTGAAAATTATACGTTACATTTCTGGCTTAAGTGAGAGATTAAAAACTGCAAATATTTCAGGTGTTTGGATCATCTAAGAACTTATTTTAGAGGTTAAAGATGCTAATGAGGGTACAGAAGTTCTCTCAAGGCAAGCAATGATTAACTCAAAGAGATTGCCAGGCTGAGCTCCAAAACAGCCTACGCATGGTGCAGTCTAATTATTATTATTATTATTCTTCTTAAAGAAGAGCTATTTTGGTCTTGCATGAAGTTACAAATACAAAGAACAAACCAACCAGTTTCAGCAAGACAGACTCAGCCCACTTTATTTTAAATCCTCAGGCTGCGTCTCCCTCGGTCCTCGTCTGCTCCCAGTTTCCCAGAGTTTCCTACCCCGCACGGTGAGTTTTGCTCCTCGCTGTTCCCACTCACCCATGCTCCGGCTCCTCGATGGGATCCGTGAACTCCGAGTGCACGGTGGAGTCGATGGCACTATCCGTTTCTACTTCGTCGTGCATCTCGTGATGTACTAGTGTGCTGGTGTCTTCATCCGTGAAGGTTTCGCACTCGCTGTACGTGCTCTCTGAGCCCATGTAAGCACTGTCAGTCACCTCATTTGCCTGTTAAAAAAACATAAGAGAAAAAAAAATAAGATAGTATAGCTATGCGGTTTCATTGCAGAGCAGGAGAAAACACGTATGGGGTAGCTAATTACTGTTGTGTTGCATTTCTAAGCACAGAAATCCAACCTCCTAAAACCAGCGTGAGCCGTACCCCACGTCCAGGTGCTGCTCCGTCTCCAGGTCCAAGGACCGAGTGCCACCCCGGGGTGCACCGTGGCCTTTGGGCTGCGCATGCTTTGCAACAGTGTTTGGAAAGCAGATTACAGAAATATATACACTAAATAAGAGTTGGAGGGAGATTTTGTTGTGAGCGAGTATGGATTTGTCGAGTCCAGGAGGGATTACCCACTGCTTACTCAGCGGTTCTGATCACCATTGCTTTCACCCACTCCATTTTAAGAGGACACATTATTAATCTGAATTCTTTGCAAAAACCACCATTCGAAACTACCAGTTAGCCCTTAAAGCACTTTTCCCCCCCGTCTAGTAATACGAGGGCACCTTCCATCCCTCAACAGAACATAAGCTGGTTTATAAATCTTCATTACAGCATCTAATTTGCAGGGACTGCATCAGCAGGACGCTCAAATCTCCGCACTTCAGCTGGAACAGCATCTCGAATATTTTGCACTACTTCACCGCATCCATTACTGCGGCAGGCTCTAGGAAAGCAGCACGATTTGGTTTTTAAGACACCGCGCTACGAGCACGGAGGACTGGGTTTTCCTCCCAGCTCTGCCCCTTAGGCAGGCATTCATCTTCGGTCCTGCCCACTTGCTCGTACACGTGGGCAGGCGTGGTCCTCCCTGGACACGCACGGTGCTGAGCCTAGAACCGTCCCGATGTTCGGAGGAGAGCCACGGGGGCACTAGAAGAAACACCCTCCTAAAGCAAAAGCTCTTGTTACCCAAAGTGCCAGCTCATTTCCCAGCACTGATGGGATTTCCCCAGCGCACCTCAGCACAAATCAAATCATTTTTGGCTCTGGGATCTCAATCGTGGCGAGATCTGTCAGTGCTGGCACTGAGCTCCAGCCGATCCCCTGTCACCGGAGATGTTGGGCAGAGGACACTGCCTGGCCTCAAGAGAAAAAGATGCTCATGAAACGCCGTTTGCTCCATCTGAAGTTCACCCAACGGGATCAAATTTGCTCAGCTGCTGGCTGCACCCCCTCCAGCACGGCACAGGGCAAAGCAGCAGCATTTTGAACGCAGACACCAACATTGAAGCAAATCTCTCTTCCTCTGCCAGAGAGCACAAAGAGCAACTTTCAGCGCTTTTTCCAAGGATTTTCAAGGAAACGAGATTTCTGAGCCCTGCATTACTGCAGCTGGAAAGAAAATACACAGACATACTGTCCTTGCGACAGCAGAATGAAAAATTACATTAGAGCTTTTCATTCAAAGCAGGGTACGTATACGGCAGGATGGAAGAGTCCTGCTCATTGCTGCAGACATTGCCCTGCGGTAGAAGAGCAGCTTTTAGGGCACGTGCTGTACTTGTACAGCAGGAGAGCACCAGACCAAGAGAGACAAGTGTCCCGCTGCCATCGTGTTGCCTAGACTTCGCAAATGCTGCTCTCGCTGGCCTGATTCTCCTCTTTTGGGTAAATACTCCGCAGCCCAAGGAACTTCCACAGCTTTCACTGGTGCAAGGCGGCTCAAGACACAACCAATGCCTCATTTTGTTTCACCCACAGATTCCCAGGCTGCCTCAGCACATGCGAGGCCAAAAAGGGACAGCGAGAACTTGTACAGGTGCTCTGAAAACCTTGAAGGGATGGATGGAGGACTGCTCAACAGCAGTTCCTATTCTTCACGGACACTGGGGAGCAGAGCAAAGCGACCGAGTCAACACCCTTGGCTTTGCTCCCTGCTGAGTGCTCTCATCAGCCCTTGTGCCAACCGAGCACGCTCAGCTGGATGATGGATGGAGGCAGACAGGAGCCCCTCTTGTAAGCTTGGCTCAGCTTTCACAGACCCACGCTGACCTACGGACACCAGCATCTCTCTAGGACACCACCCTGAAGTTAAACATGACACAAATCTTCACAGAACCGGAGTCTAAAGTCAGCATCAGGAGAAGATGGGGTTGTTCAAGTGAACTTGATTCAGAGGAGAGGCTGCTGCAGCGAACATCATCCCTAGCGCAGAGAAGGCAGCTTTCACTAGCCTTCGAGATAAAAAACAAAAGCCTCCTAAACCCCCCACCCATTTTAAAAAGCATAAATCCAGCAAGACTACTTATATACCTAAAGCTGGGGACTCGCTTAAGTGCTTTACTGGATTTATGCTACACTTCCTAGAAACACCAGTCAGGCTCTTAATGCTCGAGCAGAAGGAGGACGAGGGAGATTTGGAAGAGGAGGCTTGGTCTGCCAGCTGGCTCGCAGACACACGAGGACATTGCACCATCCCCGAGCCGAGCCCGGCAGCTCCCCAGCCTCCAGAGGAAGGCGCGCTCGGGCAATTTGAGCGCTTTTCCAAGCTGTCTGCAGCAGACGCCAAGTTTAGGAGAGGCCAGGCTTCAGCGTATCGGACAACGTTGTGTTGCAACGCTGGTAACGTTTTGCTTTGGGGTGAAAAAAACCCCATCTCCAGCCCGCACCACGTCCCCAGTGCTCACAGCAGCCGCCGGCGCTTCGTGCTGGACTGGCATGGCTCTGCTGGGTGGGAAGCAGCGGGGATCCGATGCAGCAGAGAGGGCCTGAGAGAGGACAGCAGCCATCCACGTCTGCAGATTTACCTGCATGCTTCAAAGGGATACTTTTTGCCTGTTTGAAAAAGATTTAATGCCAAACTGGAAATAACTTCGCTTGCAGACTCCAAAGTAAATGCTGCTGGTTTTTTTTTTTTTTTCCCTTCCCACTGGGAAAGCTTAAATTTCAGTATACGTTGAAGTATTACAAGGAGCACAAAGTAAAGACAACTATTGGGGAAAAAAAAAAAAACCCAAAAAAAACCCCAAGGACAACTATTGGGGAAAAAAACAAAAAACAAAAAACCCAAAACCAAAGAACCCCAACCCACAAGTAAACTGATTAAAAACCACCCTGTCGTGGTTACCATTGCTGGCCCTCTCAACATGGAGCATAACCAGGAGCGGAACAGCTCAGGGCATCAGAACATCTCAGTGCCCTTAGTTAGATGATTTACCCATCAAATTGTTACAGGACATCCTATAGACGGGAAATACCCCTCTGAATACAGGCTGAATGAGGGAGCAACCCTTTAGAACTAGAAGCAGCCACCAGAACAGTACATTAACCGTCCTCCTTCAGCCACACCGAGGATGTGCAGTGGGGTTTTTTTCTTTTGTTTTTAAAAAAGATGACCTGTAACACAATTTATAAACTTTCTTTGTATTTAGCAAAGGAGAAGAATTTTTCTCTTGTAATACTAGCCTAGATGAGATTTTAAACGCAAGAGCCCTATTAAAATTAAACCTACATGGTCAATGAATTAAGAGGCAGCTGAAACGGTAATCAAAGTCCTCCTGAGCACAAGCGTGGAGAACTTTGCTTTACATTTCATCACAGATTAAGTAACTAAACCTCAAGAAAAGATGCAAGGAAGAGATAGGCAAACAAGGGGACTTAGGAAAGGTATTACCAAATGCCTGATAAAGCAAAGCAAAACCAAGCCCCTGTGCCCTGGGCAAAGGTGCAGCCGCAGGTCGCAGAAAGCTCTTTTTTATGGCCTCACGAGCAGCTGGTTTGTGCGCTGACCCTTTAAACCCCCCTGCCACATCTCTCGTTTGGCCAAGTTTGCCCTTCTGTGAGCAGGCAGAAAGTAAGCACTTTTTCCAGATTAAAAAAAAGCCAACCACGATACACTTAAAGACATCCGTGGGCTTGGGACAGCCAGGCTAGGCTACAAGTGCCCCAGGGAACTTGCCAGGAACGTCCCCACCACATTCAGAATGGGGTTGGTGTCACCAATATCAGTGTATTTTAAGTTTTTATCAAATAAAACATACCCTTAGACACTTCAGGTAAACCTCAGACCTTAAAACTGGGACACATGCACACGCAGAGCCCCTGAGCTGAAACAGGATCATGGTTCGACTGAAGTTCCCATCCCCAACTCCAACTCCCCCACGAGGTATTTCCCCCGGTGCCAGACCTGTTTGCCCTGGCTGAGCACGACATGCCACGTCCTGGGGGTGCTGGTCGACAGCCGGCTGAACATGAGCCGGCAGTGTGCCCAGGTGGCCAAGAAGGCCAATGGCGTCCTGGCCTGTATCAGAAATAGTGTGGCCAGCAGGAGCAGGGAAGTGATCGTGCCCCTGTACTCGGCACTGGTGAGGCCGCACCTCGAACACTGTGTTCAGTTTTGGGCCCCTCACTACAAGAAGGACGTTGAGGTGCTGGAGCGTGTCCAGAGAAGGGCAACGAGGCTGGTGAGGGGTCTGGAGAACAAGTCTGCTGAGGAGCGGCTGAGGGAACTGGGGTTGTTCAGCCTGGAGAAAAGGAGGCTGAGGGGAGACCTCATCGCTCTCCACAACTCCCTGAAAGGAGGTTGTAGCGAGGTGGGGTCGGTCTCTTCTCCCAAGTAACAAGCGATAGGACGAGAGGAAACGGCCTCAAGTTGCACCAGGGGAGGTTTAGGTTGGACGTGAGGAAAAATGTCTTTACTGAAAGAGTGGTTAAACATTGGAAGAGGCTGCCCAGGGAAGTGGTTGAGTCCCCATCCCTGGAGGTATTTAAAAGACGTGTAGATGAGGCTCTTAGGGACATGGTTTAGTGGGCATGGGGGTGTTGGGTCGACGGTTGGACTCGATCTTAGAGGTCTTTTCCAACCTCAGTGATTCTATGATTCTATGACATTGGCCATCCGGGCACATCTCTGCCTGTTCAAAGGTGTTCAGCAAAAACGCCGGGGATTTGAAAGCCCGGCAGTGAGCCCTCCTGCTTCTGAAAGGAATTAAATGGATGAAATCAGCATCGGGGTGACATAGTGTGCCCTGATAAAATGCGTGAGACGATGAAGCACCTTTAGGAGACTTCTGCA